GCGTGACTATCTCTCACCTTGTCGTTGAGTTTCTCCAGGTAGGGTCCGAGGTCCTTCTCGGTGACGTGCAGAAAGCGGTCGGGCTGCATGTCGGCCGCGCAGAACGTCAGGATGTCGATCGCGGTGAGGCGCGTCTGCTTGCGCGACGGCACGAACACGACGACGGGCTTCTTCGCCGAGTACTTGAGCATGTGGTTGTAGGCGGGCTTGACCATCGCGAGCAGACGCGACGCCGTGTGCGTGATGTTGAAGCCCTGGGCGAGAGGATGACGTTAAAAAAACGTTAAAGCATTTAAAATAATGCCATGGCTACGCGTCCGGTCATATATTTCTAATGTGAACCCAACTATATTTTTTCAGTAAAAAACAGCAAACAAGAAGTTTTTACCATAATATTACTTACCTTTAGGTATTTTATCAAAAAAAAATGTTTTTGTAGCTTTTGAAGCAATAATAGTAAATCCAGTAAAATCAACGATTTGCAAGGACGTGACTAATCGTGCCTAATCGTGACATGGATTTGGGAATCTGTGCTGAGCTTTGTAATGGATGACTGGAAGCGTAGCCACCGAGTTAAAATAAACATTAGTGTAGCGTCGTTTGTCCGTTCAAAATTTGTCACGAAGTTGGCGAGAGGAGTCCAAGCGTGAGCAATCGAATGCTGATCACCGGCGTGCACACACGCGTCGCACGCTAAGGTTTGTCCGTGTAAAAATTTTTCACGAAGTTGAGTATTCCCCCTGTTAAGCCCAACATAGATGCTATATGCTAATATTTGTGGATGCAAAATGTTGCAGGATGCACACGATTGTTTTACTGAGGCCAACACATACACACGAGTTGTGTGCATGCAACATGTTGTAAGATGTACAGCACTGATCTTTTATGACCAACACACACAGACATTATACACGAACTTGTTGTACGTAACCACCCATACAGTGCTGCACGACATAAATATTTGCAATCAACACGTGTACGGTGGTGAGGTGGAGACTGAGCTGTGCTTGTTGGTCTGCACAAGCCCGCTCCATTCAGAATTTATCGTGAAGCCAGCTTCTTCAATTCAACAAAGTCAAACGTGCCGGACATTGCGTCGATCGCGATAATCACTCATCGGCGGAGCGGGCATACTACACGATAATTCGAAAAGATCATTTGAAAAAAAAGTTGCCGATCGCTACGACGATAGCTTCACCGACGGACGGCGGTCTAGAGACGATGACGCGGTGACGACGGCCGGCAGGCGCTCTCACCTGTATGTGAAGCTCGAGGGGCACCGGCCGCACGTTCGGGTGGAAGTTGAAGGTGCTGTTGGCGCCGCAGCCGAGCCACTGCGCGACGTCCTTCGCGTTGGCGAGCGACGAGCTCAGCGCCACCACGCGGATGTTTCGCTCGATCTGCGACGCGATGTAGCGCATGCGCGAGCACACGACCTCGATGACCGGCTGAAACAAGCGAACAGTTAGTGTTGGCGATGTTTCGCTCGATCTGCGACGCAATGTAGCGCATGCGCGAGCACACGACCTCGATGACCGGCTGAAACAAGCGAACAGTTAGTGTTGGCGATGTTTCGCTCGATCTGCGATGCGATGTAGCGCATGCGCGAGCACACGACCTCGATGACCGGCTGAAACAAGCGAACAGTTAGTGTTGGCGATGTTTCGCTCGATCTGCGATGCGATGTATCGCATGCGCGAGCACACGACCTCGATGACCGGCTGAAACAAGCGAACAGTTAGTGTTGGCGATGTTTCGCTCGATCTGCGATGCGATGTATCGCATGCGCGAGCACACGACCTCGATGACCGGCTGAAACAAGCGAACAGTTAGTGTTGGCGATGTTTCGCTCGATCTGCGATGCGATGTATCTAGCGCATGTGCGAGCACAACGACCTCGATGACCGCTGAACACAAGCGAACAGGTTAGTGTGGCATGTTTCGCTCGATCTGCGACGGCCGATGTAGCGCAGCGCGAGCACACGACCTCGATGACTGGGAAACAAGCGAACAGTTATGTTGGCGATGTTTCGCTCGATCTGCGACGCGATGTAGCGCATGCGCGAGCACACGGACCTCGATGACCGGCTGAAACAAAGCGAACAGTTATGTTGGCATGTTTCGCTCGATCTGCGACGCGATGTAGCGCATGCGCGAGCACACGCCTCGATGACGGCTGAAACAAGCGAACAGTTAGTGTTGGCAATGTTCTTCGCTCGATCTGCGACGCGATGTAGCGCATTGCGCGAGCACACGACCTCGATGCGCGCTGAAAGCAAGAGAACAGTTAGTGTTGCGAATGTTTCGCCTCGTCATGCGACGGCGATTGCGGGCATGCGCGAGCACACGACCCTCGATGACCGGCTGAAACAATGCGAACGGTTAGTGTTGGCGATGTTTCGCTCGATCTCGACGCGATGTAGCGCATGCGAGAAGCACACGACTCGATGACCGGCTGAAAACAAGCGAACAGTTAGTGTTGGCCGATGTTTCGCTGAATCTGCGACGCGATGTAGCGCATGCGCCGAGCACACGACCTCGATGACCGCTGAAACAAGCGACGGTTAGTGTGGCGATGTTTTCGCCTCGATCTGCGACGCGATGTAGCGCATGCGCGAGCACACGACCTCGATGACGCGCTGAAAACAAGCGAAACGGGTAGTGTTGGCATGTTTTCGCTCATACTGCGACGCCGATGTAGCGCATCGCGCGAGCACACAGACCTCGATGACGAGCTGAAACAAGCGAACAGTTAGTGTTGGCGATTGTTTCGCCTCGATCTGCGACGCGATTACGCATGCGCGAGCACACGACCTCGATGACGCGGCTGAAACAAGCGAACGGTTAGTGTGGCGATGTTTCGCTCGAATCTCGACGCGATTGTAGCGCATGCGCGAGCACACGACCTCGATGACCGCTGAAACAAGCGAACGTTAAGTGTTGGCAATGTTTCGCTCGATCTGGACGGCTGTAGCGCATGCGCGAGCACACGACCTCGATGACCGCTGAAACAAGCGAACGGTTAGTGTTGGCGATGTTTCGCTCTGATATCTGCGATGCGCATGTAGCGCATGCGCGAGCACACGACCTCGATGACCGCTGAAACAAGCGATACGTTAGTGTTGGCGATGTTTCGCTCGATCTGCGACGCGATGTAGCGCATGCGCGAGCAGCGACCTCGATGACGCGCTGAAACAGCGTAACGGTTAGTGTTGGCGATGTTTCGGCTCGATCTGCGACGCGATGTAGCGGCATGGCGCGAGACACGAACC